TCTCTCTCTCTCTTTTGCATCATTCTCTTTCTCCCACTTTATCTCTGCCCATTCCAACCCAACGCACAGTAACACATCATGCATCTTCCCACGTCTATTTGAGCGCACACTTAGACATACACAAAAACACATTTCCTATTTCTTTGGGGGCAACTACAAGCTGCTGATGTTTTTCTATTGAGTCTGTTTCGCTCTGCTAATTCCCCAAAGCGACTGCACTTCAGATGAGACGCCATCTTCACAAGTGCGCCCACATATCAAAAAATATGTATGGATTTAAAGCCTCTTTCAACCCTGTGAGATCATTCAAGAGGCGGGACCTCCAAATTCAACGTCCATCTCCAATGGGATTGATCCAAGTATGCGAAGAGCTCGAAAACTCCTCAGACCACCCAAGCTCACGAATGGCTCTCTGGTGATTTTGTAACAAGTTTGATGGAAGGAGAGGCAGAGGCAGAGGCAGATAGAAGGAAAAGATACTGGACAAGTTGACAACATGACTGGGAACAGTAAGAACACCATCGCAACAACGCAAGAGTGAAGTCCATGATCGCTCACGCCAGTCGTCAAGGCACCGTATGAAGATGAGTCTGCCCCACATCCCAACATTATATCATCTGAGCTAATGGCGCACCCCGCATTTGAGTCAGAATTTCTCAAAGAAATAAGTATGAGTACAGTATATCTCTAACCTAAAACTAGTTCAATTTTAACCCCAACACTCACGAAATTTCTAATGCATAAAAACATAAAAACATAAAATGTAATTTTTATGTGAAAGAAAATTAAATGATCACACCATGGACCAAAAAATGGCCAAGTGATTATTACAAAGTGGACATCAAACTATGGAGAACTGTCTTTAGAGTATCGAAAAATAAAGGTCTGCGGGAATTGAAGTTATGAAAAGCGGAAATTTCACTTCGTCATTACCTCTATTGCCAACACCGAGTGCATAGTTTTGTCTGATGTAATTTGAGTCTTAAAACCCTGCTTCGCTTTCTGTCACTGTTGATGTACAAGTGATATCTTGTGAGAAAAAAACTTTTAGAATAGAGGACTGTGATGTAACAACCAGACAGACAGACAGACAGACAGACAGACAGACAGACAGACAGACAGACAGACAGACAGACAGACAGACAGACAGACAGACAGACTGACTCACCAGAAACATGAGAGTGAAGATGAAAGCCGAGAGGAAAAAGACAAAGGCGAAGGCCGGGGGGATCTCCAGGACGGTGAAGGCTGCAGGCATCTGCCACATGAGTCTGTCTAGTCCATGGCCGTCTGGGGAGGGAGAGAGGGAGGGAGGGTGAGAGGGAGGGAGAGGAGGGATGAGAGAGAGAGAGAGAGAGAGAGAGAGAGAGAGAGAGAGAGAGAGAGAGAGAGAGAGATAGGGAGAGGTGGGGTTGGGGGTTGGGGGGAGGAGACTCTAACTATCAAATTTAAATGCTATCATTCTATCTTTTCTCTTAACATATAAGCCTATACAAACGTATTGATCAGTAAAAGAATAAATTAATAGAAAATATGAAACATATGCATTACATAGATTAGGCCTACCGGATACATTAGATAAATGAGAAATAAGTTATAGTAGCCTAAGTTATAGAGTGATATATGAATAAATACACAAGTAAATGAATACATAGCTTCTACTGAGAGGTAAATTATAGATACATTAAGCAAAAAGATAACAATTTAGATGAATAACTGATAATGCCCGCTAATTACATAGAAATAAAGAAACAAAAGAAAGAAAGAAAACAAAATCGCTTTTGACAATGGACGGCGAAAAGTCATAAAATCAGCACTTTAAAAATGTGATGGACAACAGTGTACGAGCGTTGTAATAGATAACTGTGATTACAACCAACATTCAATAATTATTTCGCTCATGATGATCCTTTCTCAAAGTTTTATATCGTTTCGTTTATAAACAAAGTAGGCTATTTTATATTTTATATCCAGTTTCCGGTTCGTTGTTAGGGGTGTCACGTGACAGCAACCCTGGCAAGCTTTGGTATCTGATCCGTTGGCTTAGTGAGGGGGGCTCGCTTGTTCAATTTAAAAAGAATTGAATATAGATCTATAGCTTTTCAAAATCAACATATTGTTGTTCTGTTCTAGTGATCAAGATGCATAGGTCATACCAATCTATCCTTCCCACTCATAACAAACTTCTTCAGAAACGCTGGGACACGACTTACTACGATGAACACAGGAGAAAGGTTAGTTACCCCAAAGTTTGAAGTTTGTTGTCACTGCTCTTATTGTTACGTTCTCAAGCTGAAGATTAAAGCTCTAAGACGAACTGTATGACTATGTTTTTGCAATGATTAATTTAAACAATTTATTAATCCAGGTTTTAGTTTTGATTATAAGCTAGGCCAAGTTTGGGGTTTTGATTTGTAGACTTTCTACAATTAAAACAATAAGACTTTGCTTAACCTCAATCACGCTAATCTAATATTTTTCTTATTCTTTATTCTATAGCGAAGCCTTATATCTGGCATAGATCGCTTTTTTTCTTTCTGTTGACTCTTTATCAACTTTATCTGACATTTTATCCTAATGTAAAATGAACTTCACGTTCACTTTTCGACCCACAATATTATTCTTGCGCTTAGAAATGTTACAAACAATTAGATCTAAAATCTAGATCTACAAGTAGTTTTCCAGGAGATTATAAATCTCCTCTGGGTCAACTGTTAATGCAATGTATACAACATACACTGGAATTAAGTGTTAAGATTTTGAAATTCATTTGATTAATTGCCGAGAGGAATAAATGCAAAAATAAGCGTTTAAAAAAGTGATTGTTCCGGTTCAGTTATTTTTAACATACTTTTTTTTTGTCCAGGTGCGTGATGCTGTTCCTATGGTTGACACAAAGGCTCCTCCTACCTACATGCATCTCCACTTGAAGTTGAAGAAACTGCAGGTATCTTGTGAATTCCTTCTCATTCTTTTTTAGCTCCGCTTGTGGTTGTTTAGTAATTACCGGGCATTCCCTTTGTTTTTGTTTCATATTTGGCATTTTCTTAAAGTGATACTTACAATTTTTTATAATATTCTAAAATTCTCTAATGGCCACCAGTCCAAGACAATCACCTGTACGAAAGACAACTTCCAACATATATATATGTATACATATATATATATATATATTTATACCCCCTTATATTTTTTTAGATATTATAACAAGACCTACATGTCTCAAACAACTGCTTAACTCCTCAATAATGGGTGGACGTTTTGGTTAATTTTGACTGTATTTAGAGGATGTATGACTGTTACAGGAAACTGCTCAGGTTCCTTGAATGGAAAGAAGAGCTTAAATTCGCTTTCAAACTGACACTTTACAAAAATAAACATCTGTCTTCTGTGGTCATACTTACATCGGGGGCTGCTTTATTTTTCCATTTGTATCATCACGCTTAACCTCTCTCCATCTGGCACTCTATCTTTGTCTCTCTTTCTGTCTGTATGTCTGTCTATCTGTCACTTTCTTTCACTTTATCTCTCTCTCTCTTTATCTCTCCCTCTCTCTCTCTCTCTCTTTCTCTCTCTCTCTCCTCTCTCTCTCTCTCCTCTCTCTCTCTCTCTCTCTCTCTCTCTCTCTCTCTCTCTCTCTCTCTCTCTCTCTCTCTCTCTCTCTCTCTCTCTCTCTCTCACACACACACACACACACACACACACACATTATTCACTCATGAAATCAGCAAATATAGTCTTTGCTGTAATTTAAAATTTAAAATCATCAGCTGGAATAAGTTTTATTAAGTTGATCAGTTCCATACAATATTTATTTCTTTTTGCAGTTGGAGGAAGAGCGACTGGCCACAATTGAAAGAGATAACAGAATTCTGTTGGAGAAGATGTCATATATTATGAGAACGCGGGGCAGAGTCGACAACAGAAATAATTATGAGTACAAGAGGTAAGGTTCTCTTGTGTGGTTTGGTCTTGAAATGTTCTTGTTAGCAGAATCATCACCTCCCCCCCCTACACACACACACATCCCCCTCCATCTGAAGAAAAGCCTACTGTTTTACTTGAATATAATATGTGTTTAGAACTATGTTACTTTAGTTTTGAAAAGTAGTATGACACCCTTAAAATAAACAATATTTTGGGTTGAAGTCATGGTTCATAGATTGTACTTCCTATTTTAATGTTGGGAACGCTAAAGCTTTAAAGATGGTTGCAATGATTCCTCTCCGACATAATAGACTACGGGGCTATTCATGACTTCTGGCGAGAAGTGAATTACTTACTGAATGATAATATAAAAATAATTAATAGTTTATAACATAATTACTTTTTATTCGCCAAGAACAAAAGAGGTTGTCTTGTCTATATTTCTGGCTCATAGAAGATTTAGAATTCTTTTGCTGCTCCCGCAAGAAGTTCCAAATACTTAAAATTTACCTAATTGCTCTTTCTTGTGTTTCAGTTTGAACCGTGAAAAGCGTCAAAGAGAGTTGCTGAGGGTAACCAAGGAAAACCAGGCCATTCTGTACCGTATCAACATGAGGAGACCTGAGTACAGTCACAAGAAATGGCAGGAAGAGTGGGAAGAGAATCAGAAGTTCATGGATAATATCTCACACTATCCTCAGGAATGGTGGATTCGGGTAAGGAAAAGAGTAGTTTGTGTTTTTGGGGGTTTTTTTCTGCTCATTGAAATAATAACAAGACTACCAAACGTTGAGTTACAATTTGAGGATTTTTTTTTTATTGTGTGGAGTCTTCTTAGTTATGACACACCTAAGTATATAAAAATGATATATTTAGAAGACCTTTCAAAAGCAGATGGGTTTTTTAAAAATCTCAAATAGTGTTGGCAAATAATGGCCTTGCACCCACCCCTTTTTTCTGTGGGCAATATCCTGCTTGGTCTTGGTATTCTCTAGAGTATGTCACAGATATTTCTAAGTGTATGGTGTCTTCTTTGTTGTCTTCCAACGTGTGTTTTCTCCTCCCCCCCCCCCCCCCCCAAGCTCTATAGAAGATTTTATGAGTCATTTTGTTTCCAGTTAGATCACAGAAAAACATGTTTTATTCAATAAGTACATCAATTGGTCAATAAAGATGAGAACTGATGAGGACAACTTTTTTTTTTTCTCCCTTGCCCATTTATATGACATTGACGCCTTCTGATTAGTAGGAAAAATTGCAGTGTCCAATAGTGTATTATGTGCATACTTAGTATAACAATTAACTGTAATAGCAGATAGAGATTCCAGGATTATAGATGTAAGTCATTGATCTGAGAGTGGTGATGATTTTAGAAATAATAGTGGTGATGATTGATGATGAGGGATTGCGTTTAAGTTAGCGTTAGTCCTATCTTCCTCTGCTCCAATGAGTCACGAGGGATGTGGGCACCCTCAATCATGCTCCCTACTGGAACCATCTTTACGGTCAGCATGAAGTTCCGAAATGGTGGGCTCAGTCTCTTCTAAGGTGACTTTGTTAGTGTTAGCCTATTCTATCGTGCCAAGACAAGTGTAGAGAGGAGCTAAGTGGGAAGACAGTATAGGGGCAGGTATGTCGGGATATTTGTAGGTAGCAAGTTAACAGATTATGATCTTTAAAATTGCAGCATTATACTCCCTGATCATTTGCCCCGAGTATTCTTTTCGAGTCCTATTGAGCTTGCAGAGATTCTGACACAAGATCCTCGAACCCGAGTCGAGAGGGCACAATTTACACAGAATATTGTATCCCCTCGCCTCAGGGGGAGCGACTTCAAACTCCCCCATCAAGCTCCCTGTGTCTGAATCCCCACAGTCTCGTCCAATATTGGTATAATTCCAATGCTAACGTTGGAAGCAATTCCTATATTTAACAAGCCAATGTTGTGGAGATGCTGGCTGAATGTGTTTTAATGGTTAGAAATGACTGGAGAGAAAGCGGGAGGGAGAGAGAGAGAGAGAGAGAGAGAGAGAGAGAGAGAGAGAGAGAGAGAGAGAGAGAGAGAAGGACAATAGGGGGGGCGAGGGTGGCGAGAGAGGGGAGGCTTAGTGGCGGGCAATGAATATGACGGCGATGATATGAGGTTATAGGGCTGGAGAAGGTAAACAGATAGGTAGATAGCCATATCGAGACTAAGAGAGATAGAGATAGAAAGACACAGATGTCTCTATGAGGACAACTTAAGTTTGTACTTAATGAGTAATAATTGATTGTTTTGTTTTGGGTTAGGAATCGCCTAAAAACTCTCCAAGGCAAACTGCAGGTGCTGATGAAAGTGCACGAGATGATGAAGAGGACCTGAGGCGAGACCAAGAAGCTCAGAAGAAAAGAGAGAAAGAGGAAAAGTTAGCTGAACAACAGAGGGAAGAAGATGAAAAGAAGAAGCAAGAGGAAGCTGCAAGAGAGAAAGAAAAGCAAAGGAAAAAGCAAGAGGAGGAAGAAAAGCGTAAAGAAGAGGAAAGACTAAAAGCTGAGGAGGAGAGAAAACGTAAAGATGAAGAAGAGGCACTGGAAAAAGAAAGACAAGCTGAGACAGAAGCCCCAGTTGAAGAGGATAACTCTGGCAACAAGCAGAATGAATCAAATGCGTGAACAGAAAACTGACTTAAGATTTGTTAAAGAAAATAGCTCACTCTGTTGTTTTCCCAGTGTGTTTACCTTCTGTCACGTTTCGATGTTATTTGAAGTGACAGGTTTTATTGTACGGTACTGCGAAAACGTTGTTACATGTTTTGAAAGCCATGTATATATCTGTGCGTATGATTTCATCAAAAGAATGTGAAAGAGAAGGAAATATGGCAAAGGTGCCGGAGAAACGAAAAGAACCTGAATAGGAGATTGTCAGTGATCCTTCTCTTAGCAGTGTGCTCTATTGTACCCATTTCCATCGTCACATGTGTGTTGTAATTTACTTTTCTTTCTCAAATGTTGATCTCTGCCCTCCATACAGTGGCTCTTTTCTGCTTCTAAGATGTTCCTTCAGCCATTTATGTCATTAGATAAAGTGATTGTTGTTTTGAATGAATAAATAACTATCATGTTGTTTTTTTCGGGCCAGGATCAAGCTGAGAAAACACCTAGAACTGGAAAGGAGGAGGAAAATACTGAAGATGAGGAAGAGACACAAAGACAGAAGGAGGAACAGCAGAAAAAGCAGGAAGAAGAGGAAAAATTAGCTCAACAGCAAAAGGAAGAAGATGAAAAGAAGAGGAAGCAAGAGGAAGATGCCAGAGAAACAAGGAAGAAAGAAGAACAACGTAAGAAAAAGGAAGAAGAGGAACGGAAGAATAAGGAAGAAGAAGAAAGACGCAAAGAAGAAGAAAGGCAGAAGGCTGAAGAGGAACAGAAACGTAAAGATGAGGAGGAGGCGCAGAAAAAAGAAACACAAGCTGGGAAAGAAGTTCCAGTTGAAGAAGATAATTCTGGCAATGAGCAAAACGTTTCCCATGCATAAAAAATCTGACTTGGAATCATTCAGAGAAATGCCTTACTTTGCTTTCTTGTTGTTGTCATGTATTTGTCTCATCTAGACGTGAAGCGTTTTATTACACAGTGAAATAGGGAAAATGTTATAACAACTTCTGGAAGCCCTGGATGGGTTGCGTTGATGCCAAGAATCTATATATATATATATGTGAGAGTATGTGTGTGTGTGTGTGAGAGAGAGAGAGAGAGAGAGAGAGAGAGAGAGAGAGAGAGAGAGAGAGGGGGGGGGGGAGAGAGAGAGAGAGAGAGAAGGGGGGGGGGGAGAAAGATTGGAGACTGATGAGTGTACTTTTACATTTTCATGCTAATTTTTATACTGTTTTGAATGTGATGTAAAACCTCGACCATAATTCCACATGACATGTGCACACCTCATAGATCTCCTGCACAATATCTGTGATACAACAAATATTGCCCTATCTGTCAAAAATTCCTTTGCTCTCATTGTTAACTTCATTTGCTTAGAAATGAATATGCAGCTCATTTTTAATTGTGTATAGAACACAATTTCCAAGTCAATGTGTTCTTCAGGATGAATTTTACTGATATTTAGAGACATTGCATAATAAGTGCATAGGTCATTTTATTTCTTTCTCAAATGTATACGGTTGTGATTTTGTGAAGTTTTACTGTCTCAAGGTGTAGATATTTATGTCAAAGAAAGACTTGACCCCTGAGTAATTTCACTTTTCAGAAGTTTTTTTTTTTTTTTTTTTAATCGAAAAAGCTATATGAAAAGAAGTAATCCTTTTCAAGATGTTTTGGACAGTGAACATGAGAATGAGTTGCGAGGTTATGTTGAAGACTGCAGCAAAGAAAGATAACTGATTTATTCAAGTTCCTTTTTGCTCATGGAAAAGATATAACTTCAATTGTTTGTTACTAAATATGACCTCATTGTCTCAGTCACTATTTCACGTTTTGTGAAACTCTCTATCATGACATCTTGTTATTAACTAAATCAAAATTTGAAATGGACAATGTACCATGACTGTCTCTGTGATGTATGATGTTGATGATTCTTATTTTTGTACAAACTTACAAATTATAGATTATGAAATGTCTGTTCATGTACCCAGAAGTATTTTTATGTTTACATCAGATCTTATTGTTTGATCGTAAGATTTACAGTATATTATGTGTCAGAATGTTTTATTCATCTGTGTTACTAATTTCTCTGTTAGTAGAACTAGATACTGTGTGTTTGTCCGTGGATCTGATGTTTGAAAAAATGTTTTACTAGTCTTTCTAACCGAATATGATTACAAAAGATTTTGACCTTAGTAGGCCTATATTATTGATTATTCAGTTCTAGCTTCCAGTTTTTGAGTTCTATTTCAGTAAAAAGGAAAAAAAAATAGTCAGTTCATGCTTTATTTACCATTATTTAGTGTCTTTTTTAAAAGAAACTAAATGTGTGCTTTTAGTTGCCTTTTGCTATAAAAAGAAAAGAAATAAGTTTTCATTATAAAATTAAGTAGTAGAAACTTTCAGTTACAGAGGGATAATATTGCCATGGAAGCAAATTTGTAGCTGTCATATTCCTTGACGAGCTTGACCAGAGGTTTGAGTTTTCAACAAATGTATATTTTTTATGGCGTCCCTGTGAATAGACAAAACACAGCATTAATTAATTTACCTGTTTTGTTTTTTTCACCTTTATGTAACACACTGATCATACTTAACTCGATTACACCGTAGCGTGTTTAGCGTTTATTTTTCTTTGTCTTTCTTTTGCTTATTCATAGCTGTTGTTATTTGCACTGAACTTTATGGCACAGTAGTGGTTAGTCATTATTAGAAAGATGCAAAGTGTTTAGTATTTATTGCAGAAATGAGAGACAGAAGTTAGACCTGTTAACTGTGTCAGCCCCTGGCCTCTTGATTGTCTTAAATTGTCATAGGCTCTTAATTGGGAACTTCACGGAACAGGCCTGGAAATGAGGGGGTTAATAGTAATATAATTCTTGCACCACTCAGAAGGAAGGCAGTGGACTATTTATTCAGATGTACAAGCTTTTTTGGGTTTTTTGTGATATTCATATTCATATTACACTTATACATACCTATATAAATGACTCTCAAGTGCATTTTAAGCACCAGTTGATTTAGGACCCTGCTCTCATTACTTCCATCAGTATTGATTGTTTGACACTGTGTTTCCAGCATTTATTTTTAGGCTTTTTTTGTTTTCAGCATTATTGTAGACCACATGGGTTTTTTTGTTGTTGTATTGTAACATGTTACTCCCACTCATTCTTTTTTTTTTTAGTATTTATAAACTCGAGTGTACCTTATTTACATTTTGTGTCCTCTTGTATCTTAATCTGTCCCGGGGAATACAGGTGTCTAAGTAAAACCTGTTGAATGGCTTTAAGAAATAACTATCACTGGCTCTTAAAGTCTGCCTGCTTGTGTGTCTATTGTATAGTTGGCCTGATCTTTTTGTCGAAGCACATGCCAAATTCTTTCTGAGCTTCTAAGAATGCAATATCCTTTGTAATGCTTGGAATGTACTTTCAGATTATGAAGTTTGTCATTTTTTACTTTCTTATTTGTGTGTGTGCTTTTTCAATAGATGATTTCAGTGTTATGTCTGACTATTCAAGCATCAGTTGTGATGCTGTTACTGTTACAAACCTGGCCCAAACTTACAATTCACAATTATCCATCTCTGTTTTTTAGTTTGAATTTCCTTCATCCGCTGTCAAATATATTTTATCAATTTGATATCTTATAATGTGTCAAAGTATTCCGCCATATAAATTGACCGATTTTTTGCCTCTTACTAAATCAAAGTATCAAAGTGACGTCCATTCAGAAAATAATACATGATTTTGTAAAAAAAAAAATTTTAAATCTCGATATCATTGACCTTGCTGTAATGTAAGGCGATAAACTTGAAATAATGAAAGACATTCGCTGTTGAGAAAGGACATTACCGCATTGAAGTAAAAGTGCAAAACGTTATAATATCTTTATAAACCCTGTGGAATTACTTATCTTTTTTAGTAAGGTTACACCTGAGAGGAATGACATTCATCTTTATCTAGTATATATACCTGAAAGTGTTGGTTGGGAATAAAGCTGAAATTAAGTTAATTTCTATAGGTGACTTGATAACAGAAGAAAGATCATATGCACTTCTGGGCTGAGGATTCAATTAGTACCTTTTTGTCTTTAAAATATTTTCATTCAAGTAGGTCTTGCAGTCGAAAATTTTTTTTAACTTGTCCCGTTTCAAGTCATTTTTGCAACTGTTTACACATTTTTGACAAGTGTACATTCACTTCATCTTTATGAATAAACATGACATTTTTGTATTTCTTTGTAGAGGCTTGCATAATCTGTGACAACTAGTCGTCGCCTCAGAACTTAACTATTTTGTGTACACTTTGAACAAAATAGTTTCTTTGGCGATAAGTGTTCTCTTTATGTGGAAAAATTCCAACCTTCTTTTTCCTTTTGATTTATTTCTGTCTATCTTTCTTGACCCCTATCATGAGGGTGCACGCATTTTTTTTTCCTCACAACGTTTACAAACAAAAAGCTTTTTGGTATGACTTCCAGAGTTTGGGGCCAGAGGGCGTTGATTGGAATCCCAGTTGTGGTGGGTCTTTCAAAGGTTCATTGTATTGATTTTTCCCCAAATTAACTACAATGCCATTGGTTTGGAAGCAACACAAGTCTGTGAAAAGACAAATAATGATAACAATAATGATAATAGTTGCATTTATATAGCGCATATCCATGCCCAAGAGCATGCTCTATGCGCTTTACAACTACGTGTGTATTATTACCCCAGCCGACCCTCTGAGTCTGAGAACACTCAGAAATATTCTCAGCTTCCGCGGAAGACACTTAAATTAGGGGAGGGCGTTGTTCAGTGCACCCGTTTTCTTCCCACATCTTCGTTTCACTACCTGTTTTCATCCCACTTATTTCCGCCACGATTTTACCCGTTTTCATTCCACATTTGCAATATTATAATGTATCCGATTACCCTTCAGTACCCACAATCGATCCTTCTCTCTCTCT